GTCAGCTCGATACGGTCCCGCCTACGAAAATCCAGCTCCAAGAGCAGGAATTCGCTGTCGCAGTCGCAGTCGTACTCTGAGGACAACCCCTGCCCACCAGACTCTCCTACCGACCAGCTCAAGAGACGGTCGACCAGCTCGGAAGCGGAGATGGACCCCCCTCCGTTGCCTCCAAAGCTACCCCCAAGGCCTGGACTCGCAAGGTCCGAGAGCAACTCGAGTGTCCAGTACGCTCACGGAAACGCTCCTGGAAGCCCTCCCCCGAGGCCGAGCAGGATCAGTCAGAACTTGGAAGATCCTCAGGCTTCGCTTTCCCAGGCGCAAGCCCACAGTGGTTCGCTTCAGGGGGGAGGTAGGAGTCAGTCTTCGGCACCCGCACGAGGTGGGAACGATTCAAAGCAGAGCGGATCCGCTTCTCCTCCCAGCATCAATCCTTTCAAGGACCAAGCCCCGACGATCTTGACCTTCTTCTGCGCCACTGGCATCGCAGTGACCTTCCTGAGATCTGTCCACTGGTCCATTTGCCTGCTCCTCATCGCTGGCTCGGCTCACTACCTCTGGAAGAAACTGGAAAGAGCAGGCAAAGATGCGGCCTGGGAGGTGGAGATGAAGCAAGCCTCCCAAAAGGTGAGCGAGGAGGAATGGAAGCGAGGAGAGCTGACAGAGTAGAGGGCGGGGAAGGCTCCTGCCTTCACTATCACTGAACTGTTTCCCATACAACCCCTTCTTCTCAGCTCTCGGACTTCGGGCAGGACGGAGAGACGGTCGAGTGGCTCAACAAGTCGCTTGCCACGCTTTGGCCGCTTATCAATGCCGACTGCTTTGCCCCCTTTGTCGACCTACTCGAGGATAGCTTGATGACCCAGGTGCCAGGGATCGTTCACGGCGTCAGAGTGGAGGACGTGGACCAAGGTTCCATCCCGCTTCGCATCAAGTCCTTCCGAGTCCTTGAGTCGGACGACAAGTCTTTCATCGAAGGCGCAGTAGCCCAGGCAAAGAAGGATCAGGGCGAGGCGGACACAGACACCGGATCTGACAGCCACGGTCGCCGCGACGCATCTTTGGTGGCTGAAGCCGACGATGACGATACTGGCGTCGACACGGGAGACTACGTGGTGAGTATAGTCACTCTCGTGAACGCATGTGCTCCGGTCCCTGTGAGCGGGCTCGCTTTTTGGCTAATGCCGTTTTCCTCGTCGCGTATCGTGTCCTACTTGCGGGCAAAAGAATCTGGAGATCACTTTTGCGTACCGCGGAAGCCGACCTGGCAAGGGAAAAAGGAGCAAGACCACCACGAACGCTGTCGCAGATAGGATTGAGAAAAGCGGTGTTTCAGGGGCTGAGGTGGAAGACGAGGACGTTCTGGCCGCCGACACCCCGGCAGAAAAGATCCACATGCTGATTTACATGAGCATTGGCTTGCAAAAGATAGCTGCGGTCGAAGTGCCAGTCTGGGTCGAGATGGTCGGGATCGAAGGCAAGATGAGGCTTCGCCTCCAGATGACGCCCGTCGCCCCGTTCGTCAAGCACGCAGCCGTCACTTTTGTGGGTCCTCCAGCCCTGGAAATGTCGGCCAAGCCTCTCGGACGCAAGATGGGTAAGTGGTATCCAGTCCCTCGCACCCCGCTCCTGTTCGAATACAGCACGTATGCAGCTTCGCCCTTCTCACCTTGCCTGCCGACCGCTCTCCCCTTGCAGTCATCGATGCCATGAACCTGCCCCTCATTTCCAGCTATGCTCTCCGCTCGGTAGAGGAGGTCATCCAAGGTTTCATTGCCCCAAAGTCGTACACGGTCGACGTGGCTGCGCTGCTAGGAGCCGGGGATGGCCCTCAGGACACCTATGCCGTCGGCGTCATCTGCCTCGTACTACACCAAGCTATCGATCTCGCTGCGGCAGATGTCAACGGCAAGAGTGACCCCTTCGTGCAGGCCAGCTTCGCCCGAGCGGGCAAGCCGCTCTTCACCACGCGCGTCATCGTCAAGACCAGAGAACCGATCTGGCAAGAGACTTGTTTCCTCCTCGTCTCACCGGATGAGATCAGGGACCATGAGAGGCTGAGGCTGACAGTGTTTGATGCCGACAGGTTTTCTGCCGACGACCCCTTGGGCAGGATCGACATCAGCATCGACAGGCTCATACGCAATTCGAGGGAAAAGGGCCAGCAAAAGTCGAGAAAGTATTTTGTTACCAGGACCGACGACCTGATGCCGATGAGGCGCGGTGGGTCAGTCCAGGGAAAGCTGAAGTACAGCGTCGGATTCTTCAGCCTCGCCCACTCTGTCGGCTCCAATATGTCGCCGAGGCAAACGGCGTTGATGGAGAAGGCCGCCGAGCGTGGTGCTAGCAGCATGAAAGAGATAAAAGTGATGGATTTCGCTGCTGATCGTGGAGACCCCCACGCAGCGCAATCGGAAGATCTCGCCGACCAACTCAGGTCCCCTGTGAATCCTGAAGGAGGAACGGTACCATGGTCATCGGATCAAGGGTTGGACCAATTCATGACTCCGTTCGACAGGTTCATCAACCGCCTTGGCCTCCCGATGGACGATGAGGTGCTCAAGAAGAGGATGGAGCGGAAATCTCGAGTCGCGAAATTGGTGTCCATGATTGAAGGTGCAAAGGCTGCCACCAGGGACCCCCCGTCCCCGGAATTTCCCTCCGGCATCCTCGCGTTCCACATTCACGCGATTCACAACCTCGAAATCCCGAGCACCCAGAGGAGCTACAGCAACAGCAAGAGGCTCGGGCAGAAGCAGAGGTACACGGCAAACGAGGATGCGACTGCGGAGGGTAGCGGCAAGTTGCCTTCTTCCTACGTCCAAGTTCTCTTGAATGACGAGGCTGTCTTCCGAACCCGAACCAAGACGCTCAATCCTAGACCATACATCAACGGGGGTAGCGAGCGTTTTATCGGCGACTGGACGACCGCCAGGATCGATTTTGTGGTCAGGGACCAGAGGATGAGGGAGGGAGATCCGATCATTGGATGTGTTGGTCTCAGGGTTTCCGAAGTTCTCAAGAAGGGGAGCAGGTCTTGCGAATGGTACACGCTGGTGAGTTGTCCAACGGATCGGGCTTTTGGAAAGGGTGCTTTCTTACTGATATCGTCATCCCATCGTCATCCCCCTCACTCAGACTGGGGGCCTAGGGTTCGGCAAGATTAAGATCACGATCCTCTTTCGCTCGATCGAGATCTCTGTCCCCAGGCCCTTGCGTGGCTGGAACGTCGGCGTGCTCGAAGTCGGAAGCTGCCGAGTCATTGGCCTGCCCAGGCTAGAATTTGAGAAAAAGGAATGTCACGTCCTCTTCGAGACGGTCGGAGGTAAGGCGGAAACAACCAATGTGGAGCCGGTGGACGAGCACAGTGACTCTGTGGCTGCTACCGTAGAGTACAAATGGCCCTTAAAGGGGCCTGTACGGGTCCCTGTGAGGCAAAGATACCGTGAGCACCATGGACCTTCTCGACGCGATCCATCTCTCTCTCTCTTACTCACCCCTGCGGGATAAATCCCCTCTCCCTTCGACCCTTTCAAGCATCTTTCCTGTACATTCACCTGCGAAGTGAATCCAGGCTCCCTGGCCGGCACCATACCCACGCCCACGCCGTCATTCCCTTGAACAGGATGGCGGATGACGTTCCCGTGCCAAGGAGGGTCCCTCTATTCGAGACGACGGACTGGCACAGGTTCGAGCAGGACATGCTGAGGGCTTCGACCAAATCGGAGCAGCTCGTCTCACCCTCGCCGATGGACGAACGCCCGGAGCTCCACCCAGCGTTGGAAGAGCTCTGTGAGCAGGGAAACCAAGAGCTCCCATTGGAAGTCCTCTCTGATGGGCATATCAAACGGATCGGGTGGCTCGAAGTTCACCTCGTATTCCACTCCGGGATAGGTCCCGAGCACCGCTCATGTGTCGCTGGAGATGCCGAGATGCGATACGCTTTCGACTCGTACGTGACGATGATCGACGCTGGCGAGAGGCCAAAGCCGAACAGCTTGAGCGAGAGTGGGAGGCAAAGGATGAGCAACGTAGGAGGCTCAAGATCGGAAGGAGGCGGCCTTTTACGTCCAGGTGAGCCACCTTCGACCAACGAGCAGAGGAGCAACAGGCTCTCCGCACCCCCGGCCACGCTGAGAGTCGACACTGGCATCGACAATCCGATGCGCGCGTCCAGGCACCGCCGGACCCTTTCGAATCCCGAGACGGAGCACGCGGGTGTAGTCACCAATGGCGACGACGAGGCCAGGGATGGCCAGTTTGATGGAAGGGAGGAAGAGTCCCTGTTGTATGCTTCTTCGCTGACGAACGAGGATCTATACGAGGACGAGGGCCTCGAGGATGCCGATCCTGACACGGCGGAGGGAAGAAGAGCGAGGCAAAGGTGAGTGTAGGCTGCGGCGGGAGGGGAATCATAGGGCGTTGAAGCTCGAAACGAGATTCTGAGTGAGCTGATTTTTGATTTTTTTTTGGCCAACCTTTTCTATTACTTTTACCGATAGGAATCTCCACCGGCAGCAGAGGGGCGCCGCTCAGATCAAGGGATTCAGGACGCTATCTTGGCTAAAGACCAACGCTGAAGACGTGAGTGGATCTGGATCGTCTGGCATGGGTTGTTGTTGTTGTTGCTCCAGGTACCCTGTCCCCATGCATACATGGTGCTGACGGTTCACACCATACTTCCTCTACCCCCCTCCCCCCCTTTCGCTTTCCTTTGATTCGCTCGAATGGATGGAATGGAAACAGGGGGTGGGCCGGATGAAGAAACAATTCGATAAGCAAAGCAAGAGGCTGGGCAAGATGGAATCAGAGGGAGTCTCGCACTTTTGAAAGGTTCTGTACCTCTCTTTCTCTCCTCGATCGGAATTCTAAGAAAATGGAACGAAGGTCCCAATGAAAAAGGAAAAAGCGAAGGAATCCGCCTCCAAATGACGTAACTGATGATAGGAGACCAGGCGATCGGAATGAAGGAAGGAAGATGGTGTTAAAAATGAAGGCATTGGTACCACTGGGGTTCGAACCCAGGATAAACAGGGGTGATTCGGTTCGCGCTCACGGTAAAAGTATTCCTTCTACCTTTGAACTTAAATCCTGCGCCTTAGACCACTCGGCCATGATACCTGGTTTTAACCGAGGGGAGGGGTTCGTACATATAGAATTCCACTAGAAAAGACGCGCGTCAGTTCAAACGGATGGAGCGAAGTGGAGAGGAGAGACAAAAAAAAATCACTATTGGCGTTCCGTTCCGCCTCCACGGGGCTTGATGTACCACCCCCCTTCGTTCTTGTTTTGATGAGATTCATTGTTCCGAAGGAGAGAATATGAGGGTGGGGTGGGGATTTCGACTGTTCAAGTTGTGTCGTTTGCGAGAAAGAGAGAGAGAGAGAGAGAGAGGAAGGAGGATGGGAGGTATCCAAGGAAAAGACGGAGGGGAGATCGAAAGGTGTTTGGCCGTTTCTTTCAGGAGGACCAAGAGGCGACTAGGCCGACCTCGTCGTAGATTCGCGAACCCCAAAGGAACCGACCTAGCCTTTTCAAGCCTGCGGACCCGAGGATCGAGAGACCCAGGTTGAAAATCGCGGGGGGGAAGAAGAAGGATGCCAGGAGGAGGAATCCATCCAAGGGTGGAAGGAGGAGGAGGAGGAGGATCAGAGTCAAGGAGAGGAAGGTCAAGTTGATCATCAAGAGAGTCGGTCTGGGAACGATCTCCAGCCTTTCGACCATCTTGATCAAGGCAGGCGAGGTTCTGGAGACGATCCAGTAGATGGGCAACAGGGGTTTCCAAACGATTTGGATCGTCAAGATCCGATCCTCCTCCTCGCGGTCCAAGTTTCGGACCCCTAGGACCTTGAACCCTTCCCACTTTCGACCTCCGAAGCTCCTCCCTTTCCGATCGGAACGGATCGATTCTCGAACCATCTCCGACAACCTCGGCTCAAACTCGGTCCACCTCGATGGCTCCGACCACCTTCCTGGAAAAAAGTGACGCCGGATGACGAGCGTCTTGTCGAACGACCTGTCGTTGGCGAACCTTCTCAAAGACCTTTGGACTCCCCTGAAAGCAGGGGAGCTGAAAGAGGAGAGGTCTTGATTCTTGGAGAAGATCAGATTCAGGTCCAAGTCGGAGTCGGGATTGTCGTCGTCGTCGCCGTCTTCCCCCTTCGTCTGATCGAGGTTTCGGCGATCATCATCCGAATGTCCCCTTTCTTCCGTAGAGCGTCTTGAATCATGTACCGGAAGGGTGGATTCATCCTCGGGTTCGTGTGTGGCGGCGGTCACGTTGTGGTAGAGTGGAAACCAGGGAGGGACAAGACCTTCCCTTCTCCTTTCCCTCCAGATCCTGACGCTACTCCGGCTTGCTTTGGTCACGGTCTGCGTGACGGGGTCCAAGACCTGCTGACGAGGGAGATCTCGATCAAGCCTGGATCTCGATACCCCCCCGCTGCCGTTGCTACCCTCCTCCAATCGCTGATCACCACCAGCTCTTCTGCGCCTTTGCTCAAGATGCTCAAGGATCGGGTTGGGACCTCTGGAACCCCTGGAGCAGGGAACGTCGTCGCAAAGTGCCAGAGGTCTGGTGAGGAGCCTCTTACCCTCGCACCACTTCCCTTCCATCTTGATCGGAACGACGATCCTCACCACCTCCACGGAACCACCGCCACCACCACTGGCCGAGTTGGATGTGGTCCGCTCCACAGGTGATCCCCAAACTCCCTCCTCTTCTTCCCCTTCGAGGTGGTCCGAGGCCGAGCCAAGCGAGATCTCGACTTCGAAACCAAGCTCTGGTGGAGGGCAACGAGCCAGAAGGGAATCTTCGTACTCTGACAAGAGGAGATCCAGGATCCTATCCGGGTTGTTCCCTTGGCATTGGTAGGGAGAGGTTGAGAAGGTTGAGATCAAGTGCTTGGCTGAGGTCATCGGCGAGGAGGAGGAGGAGGAGGCTTGGACCACCTCTTGAGGATGCGAGAGGGAGTAGACGCTCTCAACTGTCCGAAAGCTTCTCCGAAGGATCGAACCCCTTTGCTCCCCAGTCAAACTGTCTGTCCCTCGCCTCAGCCTCGCACCGTCCCACCAGGATGAAGCCTGGCGAGTCGACCAGGCTCCTGGATCGTCTTCGCGGAGGTGGTCTTCATTTCGAGCCCTCTTCTTACCCTTACCGTGCTTTGTAGGGGAGGTTTCCGGTTCGAAAAGGTTGAGGGAGAAGAAAGAGGATGTCCCTCCAGACGGTTCCAGGTCTTCGTCGTCGTCGTCCGGTAGGCCGTAATCTTGGATCTCTTCCGGTATCACCAACCTCCTACTTGCCTTGTGCTGCTTTCGATCGAGATCGCCTCCTTCGTGATTCTCAGTTTGGCCACTCAGGAGGGGCGTGGTGGATCGGTTTGATTTCAAGCCCATGTCGTGAATCTCATCAAGGCCGAGTGGGAAAAGTGGGGTGGGTTTGGTTGGTGGGAGGCAAGTGGAGAAAAAGTGGCGAGTCGAGGTCTGGACGACAACCAAGCCACGGCCGTTTCTTCGGTCTGCAACTCGGCTTTCAAACCGAGTCTCCTGAATCTTGCTCTCTCTACTCCTCGCCTTTCATTCTACTCTTCCCCCAAATCCATCTACCTGGCTGCGCTTGGGATATTTTTGGTTCCACACAGGCTACGAACTCTGCCAGCTGGGCATTCGAAGGGATGGATGCGCCGTTTGAGTGAGGGGAACCATCCCCCCTCCAGGAAATCGGAGCCAAGGAGAACTCTCGAGTCCGATTAGACTCCAGTGTCCGCACGTCGGCAAACCCTTTCCCAACCTTCCCAATAAATTCGCTCGTTTCTTCTTCCTCCTCAGGTCCATGCTGCCATCATCGATGGTGGAAGTGGGGGTGCCGATGTGCTTGGGACAAAATGAATGGTAAGAGGAAAAAATGAAGTGCATAAAGAAAGAGAGAAAAGTAAGAACCTGACGAAGGGAGACGGAAGAAGGGGATGGGAGAGTCTATTCTACATTTTCGATCCGATTCAATCTCGAATCGTATTTTAGGATGAGGGAAGGGGGTTTGTGCGTGTGTGCGAGTGTGCGGGAGGAGGGGTCTGAGATTCGGCTGCGATGTCTGGGATGATCGTTTGAAACGGTTGTGAGATGAGAACTCTTCCAATGACGGGAGAGGACTGTTGGTCATCACAACTTCTCGAGCTTCTTCTCTCCCCCCCCCCCCCCCCTCTCCCCCATTTCATTTCTCCCTTTCCTCCATTCCTTTTTGTTTGGCTAATCTACGTCTTTCAACGTTGATTGTTTTTGTTTCGTTTTGATTTTTGATGGGGGGGTATCGTCTCTCCTGCTTCCGCTAGCACCCTTCCGCACTTCGGTACCCAACTGTAGTTGCGTCCTACCCGTGACATGGCTGGAGCGACACAAACAAGCCGCACAGCAACAGCATGAGAATCGGATGGGGAGTCGCCTCCACCACTGTTGGAAGAAGAAAAACGTCCCTGCTTGATCATTCACACCTTGATCCAACCCCGGCCAACCCCCCCTGGCCCCCTCCTCTTCCTTCGTTCCCGTGCCGAACATCAGAACTAGCATGCGACAGTATCTAGACAGCGCTGGTCCTGGCGGCATGGAGCTGGACAGCGCCGACACCGGCGGTCTCGGCGAGCCTTCTCGCAGAGCTGTCGAGCTGACCGAGGAGGAGGGTGGCCTCGAGCCTGCTTGGCTCGGCTGGGATCTTGAAGAGCTTGTTGACGTCCTCGATGGGTAGGGGAGCGAGGCCCTGAGCCTCTCGCGAGGCGTTTTCGGCCTTCCTGCGGGCAAGGTAGGACTCGGCCTTCGCCTTCTCCCTCGCGAGCTGTCGCGCTTGGAAGCCGACGTTTCCAGCCTCGGCAGAGTGCTCCTCAAGCGCTTCCAAGGTCCCCTCTAGAGACGAAGCTAGGACGGGTTCGAGGGCGAGGTTGAGGTTGGTGTACGAAGGTCCCAAGGCAGCGGTTGGAGGCGATCGAAGGAGCTCGGAGGTGGATGGTGGAACGATCTGGGCTGGGACTGGAGCTGGGGTGGTGATGCTGCACAAGAAGGCGTCGAGGAGCGCAGTGTTGCGGAGCGCAACTGGAATCTCGATGAGGATGTTGGCGAAGGTCAACTTGTTGTCGATCAGGCTGTCATCGTTGGAAATTGGAGATAAGAGGCAGTTGAAGAGGAAACGTTCATGGAGGAATCGAGAGTGTGCATGTATGCGTGCGGATCAGGAGAGTCAGTCATCGTCCATGCTCGAGAGGAAAAGAAAGAAAGAAAGAAAGAAAGAAAGAAGAAAGAAGGGTAAAAGGGGGGGGTGGGGGGGGAACAACAAAAGAACGAAGACAAGAAACAAGGAAAACAACCCTCTCTTCCAAATGTATGCAACGCACCTCTGAACGTGGAATTTTCCCTTGCGATGAGCGTCGACGAAAGATGGGGACAGGCGGTAGGCTTTGACGACGGTGTTACCCTGAGCAGATTGAGCGAGGTCTAAGAATTTCCGATCGTTCGATTCATCGTCATACCCAAGTAATTTTTGTTTTGTTTTTCATGGTCAGAGGAGCAAGGAGAAAGCAGGGCAACGGGTCAGTCTCTCAAGGCCTCTGGTTGGTTCCGACAGGTAGGCTGTCCAAGGATAGAAAGGATGGGAGGAGGCTCACCATGAACGATGAGGATCCCCTTGCCGCGTCCGCTGGCACCCTCCCTCTCCATGAGACCGGCGACGGCGGCCAAGCCATCGACGACGGAAGAGTTCAAGAAAGCGCCAAGGAAGCATCCCTGGTAGAGACCGACCGGGTTGGCGTCGGCGTTGACGTCCCTCAAGAGGCGGACCATCTCGGAAGTGTAGCGGGTGGCTGCGGAGGGGGAGGAAGAATGAAGGGAAGAAAGGAATCAAGGTAAGAATGCAGGATTCGGTGCGGGCAAGGAGATGGTGGGTACGCACCATTCCTGCTTGGCTTGTCTTCGTCGTCGTCCCTGTCGCCCCTGGGTTGGTTGGGGAGGGCAAAGACGTTGGAGACCTCGAGCGTGCCGCCGAGGTCCATGCCGAGCAAGGTGCCCGAGGCTGAGGCTGGGTGAGCATCCCTGCAGTGTTTGACGATCTTGGTGAGGGCGAGGCCGTCGAGGCGGACCGA